TATAGTATATAATATTAAAACACTTTTCTCAAATATGATATTAATATTTTGAATTTCTCAAATATTAAATATACAACGATTGAAATGAAAGAGAATTTTATAATTATATTCTTCAAAAAAAAAAAAAAAAAAAATAAAGATATATAAAAATAACTTTAATCTGTAATAATGCACCATTTTCTCTCACAATATTTTTCTATCTGTCGGAAATTCTGGATTTTTTAGCCTAATCTATGGAAAAATTTACACGAATTTTCCGAACAACTTAATATTTCTATGTACTTTGAATTTTATATAGTTGACTTATCTATTTTTTTTTATTATTGATTCAAACTGATCTTAGTACCTACACACATACACACATATTTATTTACATATTATTATTACTTTTCTGGAATCCTAAATTCTTTGGAGTAGGATCTTAAAGAGTGAAAATTGAGTCAGTCTTGAAAAAGATTGGCTTAATTCTTAATCTTAAGAGTGAGATTTCACTCTTCAGAGTGATACTTTTATAGAGTATTATGTTCTTTCATCTTATGAAATCCTTCCTTGTTTCCTGATGGAGATCGCGAAGAAAAATACTACATCGTTCCGCTGGGAAATGATTTTTCGCGTAAAGCAGTTGTAAAGAGACATAGAGGTAGGCGAATGCATTTCTCTACAAGCTCGTTACAACGACGAGTAATAATCGTATAACGTCGTCGATCTGCACGAAACGGTACACTTGACCGCTATCCGAGCTTTCTTTCTCTTTCCGTTGCGAACGTCGGATAACAGCATCAGGATTCGCGGTTGCAGATTGACCGACGGGATAAAATCTAGAGATCTCTGGAAAAAAAAAAATCATGCATCATTAAGTGACACGGATCTTCGGCACGTTCTCTTCACGATATTCTTAATTACTCCGATCATTTCCTCCGTGTAATAACTTATCGACGAGATAAATACTCGACGTGATATCTCGAATAAGTTGATTTAGATGCGGACTACGATTTCTTTTTCTTGATTATCGCAATTCTTCATTTCATTCTATCATTTCTTTTATTATTGTAATTTATTATCCTTCAGATCTCAGATGAGAGGAAGAAATTTTAGAATTAATGGTTTTTCGAAATTCTCTTGAAATCTTGTTCAATGTCGCGTTTGGAGTTCTTATTTACATTATAACGTCTCGATTTTTTTTTTATTTGGAATACTGGAATACTCGTTTTTCAAGTAACGTTATTCGAGTTATATCGCTGTAATACGTAATACATACAGTGATGTTAATATAGCGGTAGTCGCAACATTGTCGGTGACATTTTATTAAGACTCTAACCTGTTCGATTTGGCCTCATGGAATGACGTCTTACGTGACATTATGTTTACGGTTCTTCCGAAACGTGGCTGATTGCCAGTCGCGACAGAGCAATCGCGGCGGACTATGCAATCTGCATAAACGGTTTTAGCGGCCCCGACTTCAGGAAGCCGAGAGAATTTTATTCAATTAACGGTACCCTCGCACTTCTCGTCGCTGAAAACTTTTTAACACGCCTCCACTCGGTGCTCTACGTTATGGCGTGAGCGACTCAATTTTCTCACACCATCAGGTCAAAAGGAAAAAAAAAAGAGAGAGCGAGAGGAAGGTTTTTTTCCTTCATAAGGCAATAAAGAAGCGTCGACAACGAGTTGGAGGCCTGGATTCGCGAAGTGAACTGACCGTAAATCCAAAGATATTAATCTAATTACGATAACCCCGAGACGATCACCGTACTTATTCCCAACGGTACGATAAATCCGGAGTTCAGACATCTGTATTAATTGCAGTCGCGAATATATCACGCGTGTACGACGGATAAAATACTGTGAAAACCGGGGCGCAACCGTGAAAACTAAATCGCATTAGCGATACATTATTTCGATTTCTAATCCGTGTCTAGTGAAGATCTACGAGGAGCGTTATGCTTTGTGTATGGAAGTAATAATATGGAGTATTCGATATCATGTAGTTCTTAGAAATACAAATTTCATTACGTTGAATACCGTACCGGAGAAAATACTAATAGCTTTTGCGTTTTTAGCAGAAGAGCAGAAACTGTTATTATTAAAGTAATGATAAATTAAAGAACGGATTGAATGGGATTCGAGAAAAATAAAATATTTCTGAACAACTTAGGATTCTTTAAATGTATAGAAATTATAAGTTAAGTTTTATTATTCCTCTATTAGTTCTCGATTACTACTGTTATTTTAGATAGAAATTTAATGTTCTATTTTTATAAATTTTTATACAAACTTTGTTAGCATCGACGTAGTTAGCAAGTTGCAACTTATTTTTTTTAATATCTAATTAATTCGGAATACTCATTATTAGCAATGTAAATTTAATTGCTTAAATTTTGATTTTGAATTTTGAAATATACTCTAATATTTGTGAAATACATTCTATTCGCTCTCTCCCCCCCCCCCCTCTCTCTCTCTCTTTCTCTCTCTGTTATGAGCTTTTAATTGGTATTGCATCGTGAATAATCGTAATGGCCTCTCGCGGTCCCTCTCGCTCATGGCCGCGATTTGCAGGAAGCGGCCCGATCACAGGGTATAGACTCAAGTTGCGCAAGTCAGCACCAGGAAGCTGTCGACGCCAGTCAGGGCCGTGATAGAGGCGGGGATAAATGTGTCTGTGCACATATACGGCCCTCGTTTTCCTTAGTGTGTGCTTTGGCCTTGTCACTAGTCGCCGGCCAGCTGTATTCCTCTTTGCATCTTGCTTCTTCTCCCGCCGCTGCGTCTTCGTTATTTTTCCTCTTGTAGCGAGAATATGAAGGAAAAAGGAAGAGAGAAAGTGAGAGATTGCGAAAGAGAAGAATATTCTAAGAAAGAAAGAAAGAAAGAAGAGAAGTCGAAGCCTATCCTAGGTATTAAAGCATTGCCACATTGTATATTGTAGCATTATGAGATTGATCGCATAATAAATAAAATTTCAGCTTGATTTTGGTCACTAATTGTTAGATTTGAATCAAATTAGAGACTCCATATTAGAGTAGCTAAATTCAAAAGTTACAAATCTGCTATCAGCCTCATATTTGAAAATATGAGACGAGCTTTTTTCTCCTTTACATCTCCACATTTTATATTCAAATAGATATTTAATTAAAATTTTGAAAAACGTATTCTATGATTGATATTCATATTCGTTACTTATAACTATCTTAAGTATAATCTTAAGATGCCATAAGAGAGCCAATTAGAGATATGATGCTGTATCAGCATCTTAAGACATTACTTAAGACGGTCTTAAAATAAAAACCAATTACGAATATCGGCCTATATGTCACAACTATGTATGTACACTTTGCGTGAACATATTTCGTTTAACATGACGTGTTTCAAACTTCGGAAAAGTTGCTGTCTGCTGATGTCGACGGATATCTAGATCTACCGGCTCTGTCTGGCATTGCAGCAGTCCCGATGATTTGTTCGCCGACGGGACTACTTTGGCAAGGCTCGATGGGGCTTGATTCCTCTCCTCGAGATTAGTATTGCCGCTTGCAACTTTTTTAGCTTGGGAAAATACGGCTGCGCGATAAGTAAGCGATTAAGCGATTCGTCCGTTCGCCCTGACTCTCGGATGGTACGCCCCTTTCGCGTTAGTTTATTTAGATTTTACACGGTCTGGATAGTGCGAAACCTCGTACCGAACCAACATCGTTCCCACGACTGCGATTATCCAGCCCTTTCGCAAACAAACCTCGTTCGATTTTCGTGACTCGCTCTCGTGAAAAGTGGCTCGCTCTAAAAGAGACTGAAATTTATAATATCGAATATAATCGATATCGAACGAAACGTGCCGATTAAATAACTTTAATTTCTCGGCTGCCATCTGAATCGTCGATGTTTGAGAAACGTCCAACTTATAACCAACTTCTTTAAGCGCACTGCAGTTACTTACGGCATTTGGGTACTTTTTGGGATGAGAATTTATTTCATTCTTTATTTCATGGTGGTACTCGAAACAAAATTAACTTATATCACGGCTTTGTTTTTCTTACTTTATCTGAGTTTATTTTACCTTTTGTGCGTGCATGAGATGCATAGCGTTTAACAGTATAGACCGCGTTATTTATAACGGTATACAGTGTCACGAAGTTTATGGCAGGGTGCAAATTACAGCGCGAAGTCTCTTTTTTTCTCTCTTGATTCGATCGCTTCGTTCCGGGCTCGTAAATCTGACATATCGGGCGCAGATAAATTATGAAGTGACTGGAAGGTTAGTGCCACGTGGGTGGAAAGTCGTCTTGGCGAAATTCCGATTTGTGTTTACCCGGAGAAAATCGGAAGGGG